CCGTCCACCGCACTTCCTGGCAAGTTCAATGACGAAGTCGAATGCGACCTGATGTTGTACAAACAGGAGCATAAGGTACTTCACATGACCGACCGTTGCGTTCGATACGGCGCTGTTCTCGAGATACCAGACAAAACGCTGACCAGCATCCTAGCTGCGCATCACCAGCGCGGGATTCAATTCGGACCTGCCAAAGCATTATACTCCGACGGAGAAGGTGCTCTCCACAATGACATTGCAAATGCAGTCCTTAAGGCAAGGGGCGCTGAGCTAGGGATATGCGCGCGTGGACAACGCGCCACCACTATTGAAGCCAGGACTGGCATACTACGGCACCTTCTTCACGTCATGGAGGCAAAACTCAACAGGTTAGACATGCCACTCACGCTCACCCGACTATTGCATGAGGCTTTGTTTGCCGCCAACGCATTTACTTTCTTTAATGAGGTATCTCCATGCAAAGCATTGTTTGGCCGACAACTTGCAATGCTACTTGACTTGCCTGTTCTAGACCACGGACAACAGACGGAGACATCCGATCATACTCGAGAACAGATCATTCGCCGGGTGAGCATTGAGGCTGCTACACAAGCCACTGCGATAGCAAAGACAAGCCGTGCACTGCGGACCAAGACGACCATCATTGGTCCGCGCAATTTTAACGAAGGAGGTTTGGTTGACTATCGCCGCCCCGCAACTACGGAAGACGACTGGGGTGGCTGGGATGGACCCTTCCCGGTCGCGCGGAACGACCTTGACAGGGGTCAGGTTACCGGAAGAGCTGGGACTCGCGACGTGCAATTCCAGCGCGGTGACGCAAGGCACTTGCCGCGCATTGAGGCTCGGATCATTCGAGAGATTGGCTCGGACAACACCAGCATTACAGATTGTGCTCGCATTTTGGGGCGAACTGCTATGACCTTCGGATGCCTCCCGACCAAAAGGGAGTGCTCCAGATGACTGACGCGCGCGATCCGGTTCTTCAGCACCTAATCCAGAGCTTCTTCTGCATTGAAAGCGTGGTTTTTGTGTTAGGTTAGCCGAGGGCATCAATACAGCTACCTCCAGTAACGAATGCTGACAGTTGTCCGCTGGTGCAGTATGTCAACGACGTGAACCCAGGCTTCCAATGCTATGGAGCTGAAGGCACTGCCCTAAGTATTCAAGATATAACTGGATCAGCACGCCCTAGCATCACCCAGTCCCTGATGTCCACCAAACCTCAAGCGGGCCTCGATCAAGTTATGACGAAGTTCGCAAACTTGGCCGACATGCCAGCACAAGGCAGTGATGCCAGGGAGGCCCCAGAAGCCGAACCACCACAGGAAGACGGCTGGCTTTCCACAGCCAATGAGGAATCATAGGCGGACCTCGAGGCACACATTATGGAAGTGCGGCATACAGAACTACAACAAGACGCAAGGGTACTACTGGAGGCAACTCCAATAGATGAACTTTATACTGCACCCTCACAAATGATTTCAGAGAACAGCGTGCTGGTCGCAGTAGCTGAAGAAAGCGGGGGCACCTGCCTACGCAGTAACCCACGGGGTATGTACACGACCGAGATATCCCATGTCCCACTGTGTTCCACAGGCGAAGATGACAGCTACGGATTGGACTCCGGCGAGCATAGGCAATGCGTAGGGTTCTGTTTTTTTCGGCAGAAGCGTCAAAGGTAGTCTCATCCGAACAGCAACATATAATGTTGTATTTCGACCGCGTTGCCACTATGCGAGTATATGCGACCGCTGCAGCTAGACGAGCTGTAGTCGTCAAGGAGGGCGGCCTTCTCAAGAAGGCAGATTCAGACGACTCCAGTCAAGGTGTCGCAGGCCCTATATACTAAACACAAGACATGGTTCGGCGACAAGCGTTCCAATATACAAGATGCATCCAAGGCGTCAAAGATCACGACTTCGAGGCGCGTATAAAAAATGGCAGTTCGTCAAGAACGAGAAGGGCGAGATGGAACGTGCCATCAGATTGCGCTTGGCACTTAGGCTTTAATGGGCCTCGAAGCCTTCGATGTAGAAACGTGTTCAGGAACGGCGCGGCGGTCAGCCAGCGATTGCTCGCCAGCGCGGCGGCGCGCGCGAAGCAGTGGATCATTGCTTCCCTTGGCATCGGCATGGCCTGCCTGAAGGGACTTACGTATCAAGAGCTTGCTGAAGCCACCGGGGAAAGGGAACGCGCGGCGTGCTTTGCGTTGCCAGCTGGCTCAGCATCTGCGCTCAGACCCCCCCCCAGGGTTCGAGCACCATGATGAGTCAGGGCGCTGTCTGCAGTGCCGTGAGCCAGGCACTGGCACCAAGGATGCACCAAGAGCCCGCTCACTGAAACTCAGGAAGACCACGAGAGGCTTCGACCTCAGACCCACGTCTTACGACGAAGAGTTCGAGGCGAGTTCTAATCTGACATAAAGCATGGCCGGCACCGAGAACACCATCGACAATTCCGCCAAGTGCGTGGAGGATACCTTTGGGGAATGTGAATTCAACGCGCATCTACCAATTGCGCAGTGACATATGCTAAGGAAAGCGACGGCAATGTTATTCTTGACCAAGACGAATACATAAGACAGCCTCGTCCCATCCAGCATCGCGAACTCACCGGCGCAGATGCCGAGGCTAAGACATCGCAGATGGTCGCTGATATGTTCGCCAGCCTCAGAGGCGCTTTGGCTTTACGCCCTTGTCACACAATTGCGGTTAATTCCATGCGCTGCACCACCGCAGCGTGGCCAAGGACCGACCAATATGCAAGGGCGACGACTTAGTGCGATCACCAGGAAGTTGCAGGCCTGCCCTGAGGGCACCGCCTATCAAGCGATAACATGAACGGGCGAGGTTGATCTGCATCGTGATTCCGGCTATCGTCGCCTGAACGGCGATGCCGATGACGAAGTCGAAGGCTAAGGCATTCGCTGGGCCAACCTGCCACGGCGTGGACGCAGGCAGGATGGTAAAACCGTCGTCCATCCTGCCGACGCGCACCGCAAGTCTCATCGCTTGCATTTCCGCTCGGGCCACTCAGCAGAAGTACTAGCAGCAGCCCGAAGCTTGGAGGACTGCTTTCCCACGGTTGTCACTCTGCGCGAACTCCACGCAGGGCCGGTGACACCCCCTCAACTGAAGGATATACTTGAGATGGGCGGCCTGAGCATTGAAGTCATTTTGGCCATTGATGCTGAATCCGTCTTCAAGTCCTTGTCAAGCAAAGACCCGAAGAAGCCGACTGGGAGTACAGTTTTAGGACACGTTGGTTGTATACGGAAAATGATGGAGCGAGTATCGTGCATTGTACGGGTGGCGCGGCAGTCGCGATATGGCTGTGGGTGGGCACACCAAAAGGAGCATCGACAGAGACATGCTCCTACAAGTCACGGGAGGAGTGCAATGTTTCAAGCACGACCTGACACGACGCATTCCCTACAGGGCTGGCCAGACCAGGTCATCTGACCCGCCTGAGGAGCAGTAAGCTGCGGGGTAACTTGCCTGCTGGATAATTTGCCTGCGAGGTAACTTGCCTGCGGGTCGACCTGCCTAGGTTCAGCCCGCCTGCTGTTGCCTTCTTTGTGTACTATCGCTGTTTTGCTGAGTACGGCCAGTAGCGGACTCACGCTTCGTCTTCCCCCCCCCCGACGCTACAGGAGGTTGAGCGAGCGCGAGATATAGCGAGCGTGTGTCCGCGGCCGTTTCGGCCCAGCGACCGGCCGCCCATTTGACTGTGCCTTTCCGAGGCGCACTACCATACGTCGAGACCGAAAGGCATCATCCCTTTTCGCTCGAGATGTATCGCCGCTCCCGCGGCTTACTCCTACTTCTGGGACGATCGACTATCGTTGATGCGGTACAGCAGGGTTGGACGCATATTTCGTTTTAGGCGCATTTGGTTGGGCTTCCCGACCAGCTTCAAACTCGGTGTGTTCGGTTGTTCGTGCATCGCGCATATGGGATATTCTCGTTTTGCACGTGTTGGTTGTCTCGTGGGCAAACATGGTGGCGGAACAATGTAGTAGAAACTCATTGCTGCCATGCGCCACATGCACGGGAAACGATGCCGCTCGTTTCATCTGCAGCCAGTGTTCACCGCTGCCGTTCCTCCATCCGCCCCCGTCGCGCGGAGGCATGTGTGAGCCTTCTCGGGCATTTTCTTTGACTCTTTGGGGGTCGTTTGGGGGCCTCTTGGGGCTCTCTGTGGGGCCACTCGGCGGCCCTCTGGGGACCCGTTGGGGGCCCATCGGGGTTTCGGGCCCGTCTTGGGCGCGATTGTTCTACCGAGCTCTCCCAACATATACCGTCATAGGCACGTGTGCGTGAGTTTTGGGGCTGTTTTGAGATCCTGTACCGTCAGAAGGGGGCCGTTTCGGCTCTATCTTTTGGCCTCTTGGGGCCCTCTGGGGCGGAGGCTTCTTGAAGCTTTCTGAAGCTTTCCCGTGGCGATCCGAAACTGAACAAAATCCGGATGCAACGTTCCAGGAATCGATGTTGAGGTTTGAGTGAGACTTCGGTGGCTGACTTATTGCAGTGCGCCTTGTCAGTAGTAATTTCGCGAAATGGTAGCGGGGGTACCGATTCGGAATAACGCGAGCAACCTGGGTGTTCCGTTCATGGAAGGCGCAGGATCAGTGGTAGACGGTTGTGTTGTTATTGTTACCGAGGAGGAGGGGGGGCACGGGGACGATGGCTAGGAACATGGCGGGGAACACACACACGAAGCAGGAGGAGGAGGGGGATGAGGAGGATGAAGAGGAGGAGCAGGAGGAGGAAGAGAGGTGGGCAGAAGTAGCGGGCGGAGGACGAAGATGAGGCCGGAATGCGAGGCTCAACCAGGATCCCGAGCACCTCGGTGAGGGTTGCACAACGTGTGATAAGCATACTAAGGAAGTGGCAAATTAAACGTGGGATTGTGGTAGTGGCATTGCACCACTGCCAAATTTCTGCATGCGGCTTGCAAAATAAGAAGGTTTGCGAACAACAACGTGGTAGGCCCGCCGCCGCCGAGGACACTATTATCAGCCTCTCCGTCTCGTTCCTGATCGCGCGCGCGGTCGTCAGGTGACTGAGATATTTGTATGTTGGTTTGCTATGTTTCGCGCGTCGTTGCTGGCCCAACAGGAGCAGCAACAGGAGGTGGGGGAGGACGAGGAGGCAGGAGGGAGGTGGGAGGAAGAGGATGAGTAGGAAGGTGAAGAGGGAAACGTAAGAGGATGAGCAGGAGCAGAAGCAGGAGATAGGTGAGGGAGGTCTTCCGTCCAAATATTCCTCCTCGTTCTTCCTCTCATCGTCCTCCTTCCTCCTTATCCTCCACTTTCTCTTGTACCTCTGCATCGTCTTCCCTCGCCCTCCTGTCCCCCCCCCGAAGCCGACCCCACATCGGCCCCAGCCTGCTCATCCGACTGTAACCTCGACGCGCCCCTCGCCCTCGTCCTGTAGTGTGCATGCTCGCGTGGCGCCGCTGCCGCGGTACAATATGTGCTGCACATGGATTGAATGGCATCGTCCGCTTCGCAATCTTACTCGAGAGCGCGCCGCTTGCGCTAGCGTAGAAGGGCGCGAGCGTGCGCTGGGCGATATCGGGTGAGGAGCATAGCCAGTCGGATCGCTTGCTTGCTTGGGCTGCTGAAGTTAGATGTGTTGGGCTTGCGCCACACCGCCGACCCCTTGGGGAATGGGCGGTTGTTGCGTGTTGCTCCCGAAGGCCTTTTGTACACCTTTTGGGGACTTCTTGGAGCTTTTGGGGCTTCATGGGAGCCTTTTCGGTGCCTCGTGGACTGACATTCCCAGTATTCGCCGTGCACGCATTGGGAATGGGGCGAGCACCCGCGTATACAGACTGAGGACATCTGTCAAAACGCCCGACGCATGGTTATAGAAAGGTTTTCGGCACATCCCACCACCGTGCTTGGGTTGCGGGTCTGAGGCCATTCGGATGGCTGGTGGGGTCTCATGGGATGCGTCTCGGAGGCGTCTTGGATGCCGTGTGTCCCAACCCTCTTGCGTTGGGTATTCGTTTTGAATAGAACGCTGCCCACGCGTCTTCTCTTTCTCCCGCCCCTCCTCCTCTTCTTCTCTTCTCTCCCGCCTCTCACCTCGCTCCTTCCTGCATGCCAGCTTGCCTCCTACCTGGACATCCCAGGAGGACTGTGATCCGCGAAACTGTCGCCACTTTCGATGGCTGCAGGGGGGTCCAGCGGAGTGACGTCTTGCCCAGCCTCAATTGAGACCTCGCTATCCTTTGGGGGCTGCCATCTGCGACGTTGTCGCCACTTCCGAGGGCTGCTGGGGGTCCAGCGGAGTGGCGTCTTACCCAGACCACCAGGAGACCTCGCCATCCCTGTGAGGCTGCGATCTGCGAAGCTGTAGCCACTTCCGAGGGCAGCTGGGGGGTCCTGCGGAGAGACGTCTTACGCGGACCAGCAGGAGACCTTGCCATCACTGTGGGGCATGCGACCTGCGAAGCTGTAGCCACTTCCGAGGGCTGCTGGGGGGTGCAGCGGAGTGTCGTCTTACGCGGACTTGACATGGACCTCGCCATCCCTTGGAGGGGGGGGGGCTGCTATCTGCGACCTTGTCGGCACTTCCAAGGGCTGCTGGGGGGTCCAGCAGAGTGGCGTCTTACCCAGACCACCAGGAGACCTCGCCATCCCTGTGGGGCTACGATCTGCGAAGCTGTAGCCACTTTCGAGGACTGCTGGGGGGTCCGGCGGAGTGGCGTCTTACCCAGACCACCAGGAGACCTCGCCAACCTTGTGGGTCTGCGATCTGTGACCCTGTCGCCGCTTTTCTGGGCTGCTGGGGGGTCCAGCGGAGTCACGTCTTGCCCACACCACATGGAGACCTTGCCATCCCTGGGGGGATTGCGATCTGCGAAGCTGTAGCCACTTTCAAGGGCTGCAGGGGGGTCCAGCGGAGTGGCGTCTTATCCGGACAACCAGCAGACCTCGCCATCCCTGGGGGGGGGGGGGGGCTGCGATCTGCGAAGCTGTAGCCACTTTCAAGGGCTGCAGGGGGGTCCAGCGGAGTGGCGTCTTACCCAGACCACCAGGAGACCTTGCCATCCCTGTGGGGCTGCGATCTGCGGAACCGTCGTCACTTTCGCCCTGGGAGGTCCAGCGGTGGCGTCTTACCCAGACCACCAGGAGACCTCGCCATCCCTTGGGGGGGGCTGCGATCTGCGAAGCTGTAGCCACTTTCAAGCGCTGCTGGGGGGTCCCTCGGTGCTTCGTCTTACCCAGACCACCAGGAGACCTCGCCGTCTTTGTGGGGATGCGATCTGCGACCTTGTCGCCACTTCCGAGGGCTGCTGGGGGGTCCAGCGGAGTGGCGTCTTACCCAGACCACCAGGAGACCTCGCAATCCTTGTGGGGCTGCGATCTGCGAAACTGTAGCCACTTTCGAGGGCCGCTGGGGGACCCAGCGGAGTGACGTCTTACTCAGATCGAGATGAGTTCTCGCCATTTGGAGGGGTCCAGAGGCGGCGGAGGAGGACAGGCGGAGGAGGAGGAGGAGGAGGAGGAGGCGGAAGAGGAGGAAGGGGAAGGCGATGTAGAAGAGGACGGGGAGGAGGAGGAGGAGGAGGAGGAGGAGGAGGAGGAGGAGGAGGAACCGGGGGAGTCGGTCCAGCACGTGTTGCGGCGGCGGCGCCTGCGCGATTCTTGCACTAGATATAAGCAGGTTTAATAATTTGTTCGAGCGCCGCGGCGACATGGCGCAGGCAGCGCTGACTCTTTACCGTACCACCGATAAAAGCATAATTCTTCGGTCTCCTCCCGTCACTATCGTCGTGGTCCTCTGCCCACTGCCACCTTCCCTCTGCTGCTGCCGCGCTGACGATTCGGCCCCCCACGCGTCCTTCTCCTACCCTTCATTCCCGCCCCCATCAAGCCTGAGTCCTCGCTCCTTGTCCTTCTGTTGTTGTCTTGTGACTCGTGCCACGGGAGCGCATACCGTGTAATTTGCACAACGGCGCCTGCGTTGTCATTGTCCTGGCAAGTTTGGGCCAGCTCCTCTTGTCACATGATGCAAGTTGGTTGGGTACGTCACAGGGTAACGGGTACGCGTGGGGAAACGGGCGGGAACCCACGTATACAGACGGAGGGCATTTGTCAAAACACCCGACGAATGATTATCGAAAGGCCTTCGGCACATCCCGCCATCGTGCTTGGTTTGCGGGTCTGATGCCACTCGGATGGCTGATGGGGTCTCGTGGGGGGGCGTCTCGGGGGCGTCTTGGAGGGTGTTTTCTTAACATATTGGGGGCTTCCTGGGAGCCTTTTGGGGGCTTGTTGCCGCCGTCTTGGGGCTCCCTGGGGTCCTGTTGGGAGCTCCTTGCGGCAACCCGGAGGCGTCTTGGGGTGGACCATTCGAAATGTCCGTTCGGGTTCCCTCTCTGGGCCCCATCTTTGAGCTGTCTTGGGGCCCTGCCCCATCTTTGGGCTGTCTTGGGGCCCTCCTTGGCCGTCTTGGGGGTTTCTTCGGCCGTCTCGGGGCCTTCTTGGGTCGTCTTGCAGCCCTCTTGAGGGCCTCTTGGCCAGTTTTGGGGCGATCTTTACGGCCTCCCGGGCCGCCTGGGACGTTGTGAACGCCCAAGAAGCGAACGTGCTAAAAATGCACGTTTTCCCAACGGAATGGGACGATTTGTACTTTTGGAGGCCCTCTTGGGGCGCCTTTTTGAGGCTCCTTGGGGCGTCTTGAGGGCCTCCTAGGCTTTCGGGAGGCCAGCATGGGCGTTTTGGATGGATCTTTCGGTGATCCGTGGCCCTCGTGGACCGCCCAAAAGCCTCTTGGGGCCCTCTTGACTTTTTCTGGAGTCCTCTGCCACCCCAGACGCGTCCAGCCACCTCCCGCCCCCCCCCGTCCAAATCGACTGGACTTGGTTCCAGGGAGAGGGGTTGTTGGGGGAGGGGGAAAACATGTCTTACGCCGGTGAATTCCAAGGGGTCGTCGGATTTCAGGAGTATCGGAGACCAGCAGAAGGTGAAACATGTTGAGCAAATACCAGGTAGCAACTGTAGGCAAAACGCTGGTTAAAGTATCAACCAAAAGGAATATTGATGACCAACATCGGAGTTTGGGGGGTGAGATCGCAGTGAAACGGAGACCTCCCACCGGGAAATCGGTTTCGGTTTCGTGTTCGTGTCGTGCGTGCGGGCGAGGCGAAGCTGCGCGTAATCCTCCTGTAGCTAGGCCGAAGTAGGAGCGAAAGTCCGTTCCCGTCCGCCGGTGGCTGGGAGGTGTCCCAGTTGGGCCGGGCGGTGTCCCAGGTGTCCCGGGTGTCAGTAGGAGCGAAAGTCCGTTTCCCGTCCGCTGGTGGCCGGGAGGTGTCCCAGTTGGGCCGGGCGGTGTTCCGGGCGTCCCGGGCGTCCCGGCGCTAACACATGTCACTAATTTCATAATTCATTTTTGTTCGGCTCCTGCGGCGTGCTTTCTTATCCAAGCCAGCTTATCTTATCCAATCCATCTTGTCCAATCCCAAACATGTTATCTTATCCAACCCATAGTATCCCATCTTATCTTATCCCACCCAATCCAATCCACCCAACCCAATCCATCAATTCATTTGTTTCTGCGCCTGCGGCGGGCCAATCCAATACATATTATCTTATCCAATCCATTTCTTCCAATCCAACTCATCTTATCTTACCCAATTCACTTATCTCATCTTATCAAATCCACCCAACTCAATCCATCAATTCATTTTTGTCGGCGCCTGCGGCTGGCTTTCTTATCCAATCCAGCTTATCTTATCAAATCCATGATTTTGCCGATGGTTGTCGGTTGTCCGACAAATCGTTTTTCGGCGTTTGCGGCGGGCTTTCTCATTTTGCTTTGGAGGTCGATAGTGAGATCGACAGTGAGATTCACCGATAGGTCGGTCGACGGATAGGTAGATAGTGGGATCTCATCGTCATCGCGATCACCATTGTGGTGGAGGGAGACTCTGATAGAGAGGGAGAGAGAGAGAGAGAGAGAGAGAGAGGGCGAGAGAGAGAGAGAGAGAGACAGAGAGAGAGAGAGAGACAGAGAGAAAGAGAGTGATGAGATCAAGGTAACAG